GCGTTGTGCGAAGTCTGCTGAGGAGGAACCTGACGGGGAGACTTTCTGGCTGCCTCGCTTGGGAGCCTGATGAGCAAGCGTGTGAAACACGAAGGTGGCTGCCTGAAACAGGAGGAGGAAGTTTTCGAAAGAGTGCAAAAAAGCCTGAGCCCCATACTTTGGGATTGAAAGAACCCCCCCCCCCAAACCTGAGGGGTAAAACAGGAGGAGGAAGTTTTCCAAAGAGTGCAAAAAACCCTGAGCCCCATACTTCGGGATCGAAAGACCCCCCCAAACCTGAGGGGTGTGGCAAGATAGAGCCCCTTTTGAGGCCCTGTAAAGGTTGCTGTAGAAAAATTCAAAATAAACTATGCCGTGGAGATGTTTTTTAGAGAGTCCCTTTTGAGGCCCTGTAAAGGTTACTCTAAAAAAAAAATCCAAATAAACTATGCCGTGGAGATGTTTTTTAATGACTTAAGAGAAACAGAGGATCCTTTTAAAATATGAGCGTGGGACATCTGGCTTTTCTTTTGAACATAGTTTCCCAGCATCCTGCTGCTGTCGTTTTTCCCCAGCATCCTACCATTGTGACTCATACAGTCCTCCCGTCCACACCTTTGTTAATCTAGTCTTTTAACAGCCCCTTGCATCTATATTTGATACCATCGTTTCACCTACACATTTCCTGAGCACTCCTGCGTGCATTTGTATTTCTTTCCCAAGTGATGCGCTGAGAGGGTAAATAGAACCAGATCTCAGGGTGTTTTTATAATTAAAAAAAAAAAAAACACCTTCCAGCTTCCATTGAAGTATGAAGAAGGTTGTGAAAGTTGGCAAATACCCTAGGGCCATTATGTGAATTTAGCAAACCCATCTGGTCTGGGAAACAGATGAGAAATGCCACCTCTGTCTTCTCAAACCCCCCCCCCCCACTTCCAGCTCAAAGCCCCAGCACATTCCAGCCATATTACATCATGGGGTACTGGGGAGAGACCAGCCAATCCGCGTGGGCGTCGTGCACAGAATGCTCATTGTCTCCACACTGCTTCTCAAGTCCAAAGTGGTGGGGAGGGAGGGGGGAAGATACACACAAAGGAAGCTGCTGCGGCTAGGGCTTTGGTTTCCATCAGTTCCCCCCGGGGGAAATAAAGTATTCCAAGACTCTCCCACTCTTCATCTGGGAAGCATGCTACAGTGGCACCTCGTCCACTACATGAAAACACAGTTGTAAGCAAGGTGGCAATTGATACATAGAAAAATGTGAATTAAGCAATGATTGAATATTTTAGATTGGGAAAAAAAAACATGTAAACCCTTTATAATGAAGAATCTCCCATTGCATTTTGTTAATTTTTGTGCTCCCAGACAGTTCTGCTTACTTTAGCTGGTCTCATTATATATTTTAAAATCTCATTTAATCTAATTGTATGCATATTTGTAAATTCCACTAATTCTAATGAAGCTTCGTCCCAAGACAGGCTGGATGGCATGACCTCTTAAATGTAGTGTCACAGTACTTAAAAATTGTTTGGGGCATGTTACATTACTCTTGCTTTCTTAGTTTTACTGTGATTTTGCTTAAGTTTTGTGTTGTTGATAGGTGTGAATAATAATTTCTGCCTCAGAGGTAAAGTGTCAGCATACTCTTAACAGTAGAAGTGAAGAAAGGGGGTTAGTTTGTATAGCCTTACATATACTAAGCTTTGTAGACGTTTTAATCAGTTAGTAAAGCTATTTCAGATTTTGTTGTAGTTCATTATGAAAGTGGCTTGATGAGTTGGATACCTGGCTGTGAACCCAGAAATTGGAAATGTACATAGAATATATGGTCTCATTCCCCTGTGCACTTTGCAGCTCATAGGGAATCCTTGTGACTGCCATGATATAAGGGGGTCTGAAGAAATAGGACAGGAACAGGATGGAAGTGAGGGGCCTGCACTACCTCCTGCAGGTTTGAGGACTCCTGGTCCCATAATTCTTCATGGATGGGGGGAATTCTACCACATTATGGGAACTGGGGAGACCTTGAATTCCAAAAATCCCATTTCTAATCATCAAACCACCTTGAAAACACCCAGCCTCATATTGTTCTGGAAGCTGTGCACAATCAGGGCTGGTTAGTACTTAGACTGTAGTGTATGGTGTAACATATCAAGGATCCCAAGATAGGGCAAGGAAAGAATCCTACCTGAAACACTGGAGAGTTAACTGTCAGCCACGTTGACAGTACTGGACTAACAGTTTGAATCAGTACAAGACAGTTTCCTATGTTCTTTGTTAATGTGGTACTTGGTTCAGTTATTGTGGCTTGACTGTTTAGTAGCATTTTTAGTGTAATGCTGCCATAATCTGTTTTCTTCAATAATTTTGAAGTTGAGAGTGCACAACGTAGCTATAATGTCTTTGCTGGTGCCATATATTTGCCTATATGCCATTATACAAACTATTATTGAAAGTTACTTGATTGATTCAGTAAATTGTTGTTTGGTGTGAAGTGAATGTGGGTTTTTTTTAAAAAGTCCAGAGCCCCCTTGAGCACGCAGCTGTGTCAATTTGTGGATGTTGGCCAATATATTTTAACAGTGGGGTATCCTGAAAACTACTTTGTACAAATAAGCTATTTACATCATAACTTGCTTTTAACATAATCTCTGATGGATAGGGTCACAAAAGTATATATTTGTGCAAGACAACTTTTCTATATTCTTTTGCTCTCAAAGTACATTTTACTGTTTTGTCCATATTTAACGACAAATCTAAATGGTAGATCAGTTAATTTCATTTGGTCTTGCACTCCATTCCTAAATATATTTATTGGCTGCAAGTTCAATGCATATTCTTGGAACCTACTTATAGGTAAATATTACTAGGATTACAGTCTCACTAATGTTTATTTTTGTCTTTGTCATCTCAATGAACATGGATATCCCAGCCATATTTTACAGTAAAATTTCAGCAAGAAGATTACAGTGACTTTAAATGTGCTGTTAATCTTGACTTCCCTTTTCTTCACAACATTGTATCTTATGACAGGTAGAAAGCAGGGTTGCAATCATGCATACTTGAATCCAGTGGGATTCAAAACATGTGTCAGAAGTAACAAATGTTACAGTTTTCTATTTTTTTTTCTTTGTTTCAAATATTGTTTCTTGAAATGTTTATAAGCAGGGAGGATGCTTTCTAAGAAGTGGTGTTGGCTGAGAAGTGTTAGCTCAGAAGTACAGTAATATGTCTAATGGAGTCTATATTTCAGACTGTAATTAACTTGAAATATTTTTGATACTGTGACACTTGTTTCTGCTCCAAAAAAGGAACAAGGAATAAAATA